TTCAAACGTTTCGCAAGAGAATACAAAAGATTAGCCAATAGCCTGCTTCTCGGACTTAATCAATGAAGTTATTATCCGCGATTCGAATCGATGAATAATACAACAGGGAGTCGAAGCTGACTGCGGGTACCGCGACGAAACGAACCGGGAAAATATCGTGCGTTTCTTAATAGTTTTCAGCTGAAAGTTCCGGAGCGGAGGTTAATTTGTGTACCGATCGAATCGACCCAGACCGCTTCGTTGAATATTGTAATTAATTTCCGAAGGGGCAAACGCAAACAACGTTACACGCTCGGACCATTCTATTCAAGGAGCTGTTCACCACTCGCCATATCTCATTACCCCTTATCACATGATACACAAGCAGACTATGGACTTAATAAGCATAAGTGCCTGCAACTGCGCAAGGAGTACGGAAAGCTCTACTGCACGATTTCTTGCCTAATTAGCGATATACTTTTATGCCTCCTTTTTGCTTAATATCCGAGCACTTAGCGTAAGAGGAATCGCGTATATCTGTATCCCATTCGATCAATTCTCTCTGCATGCAAATTTCTATTTTCGTTCCACCAGTTACTGAAAAAGAACAGAATAACAGAGACATATATTTCGCTTTTCAATGGAGGGAACCGTCGTTAATAAATGTCCACCCGATTTCCAGTATTCTACAACTTTGCACGTACCGTAACTTTGTTTGTGTGTACGTTCATATTTTCCCTGGATTCAGGGAACAGTTGAAATACCAAAGCTTCGTTGAAAGTAGTAGGAGCACCTAGGTTCACAGAGGGAAGCGTATCTGTACCGAACCGTTTATTCCGCTCCAGAAATCCAAACATGATCCTTTTAATTAGTATACTATTTATTCCCGGACAGTCGGCTACGTTTATGGGAAACGTGTCACGCGTCAAGCGAAATTACATTACAAGAGCTCAACCGAATTGAGCAACCCGCTCGAAAATCTTCGAAGACAAAATATTCCTACGGTGAAAAGGTTTCCAGAGAAACCTGTAAAACTTGAATCCCACTGTGTAGAATACATTAAACGCACTTCCGTTAAGAGAAAGAAGTACACCAGTACCAACTGCAGAGGATATTCTAACGTACCTCAGACCCTCTACAAGTTAAGTTTATAAAAGTCCATAAAATTCATGGAAACCAGTGCCTGCAACTTCACCGACAAACTCTGGCTTACAAGTAAATAAAGTTCCCCCCTTAATATTCAATTTCTTCAGAGACGATTACGTTTCACGGATCCAGGGTAGAGAAGAAGAAGAAAAAAGGCAGATATAGATGAGAAGAACGATCATATCTAGAAGAACTCCAGAAACGGTACTCGGTTTCCGTGAAAAAGTAACAAGTGCCCCAAGATTTAAAGGTAATAACGCCGGCCGACCCGGCCCGGAGCTACGGCACAGCCGAACGTCCTTCGATAAGTATTCAATATCTCCGTTAAGAGATAACCGGGACGGTATAAAAGGAATCCGTGGAACGTTTCATTGTCACCATATGCAGCAATAAAACGAAAGACGAGCCATTAGCCAACAGGCGCACATGTGGCGCTCGGCCAGCCGTGGCGCGGCGGTGCGTGGCGTGCACGGGCATTCGTCAGTTTCTGAATGGATTTGAAAAGCGCGTGAGTCAGCCCCTTCCTGGAAAGTTGATGCTATTTCAGCGTGTACGGAAAACTAAAGCGAAATAAAGCATGACTAACGGACTCTCCGCGGTAGATTTACGCGAGTGCGTCCGCGCGCGCAAGGCCGGCAACTCGGGAATCCGAGCGGCCCCGGTTTTTCGACCCGTTTTTCGCTTACCATCTTTCCTTTATTTTGCTCTCTGTCCCCCTTTTTTCGGGGCGGCTTCCTTTTTCCCCTCTCCTCCTCTACTCTCGTTCACCCCTTTTTTGCACGGTCGTTTTGTATGTTTTGTTTCCCACCGGTTACACACCCGAAACACTCTTCCACGGGACATACACGGTATGCATACATACGATATCACCTGAGGCTTCCCTCCGTGTCACCAGCGCGCGTTTCCCGGCGGTGTCACGGCGCGAGCGCGACGCTCGTCGCTCACACGGACACCGATATCGCGTGCGGATTTTGTGATCTTACGTGATTCGGGTCCTCCGCCCTCGAGAGCAGTCGCGCACGGTCGACCGGCTACGAAAACATTGTGGGTGTTGTGCTACGTTGTGCAGTGGATGCGTCGAAGCTGCGGTTTTCGAATTTTTTTCCGCTACGAAGCAACGCCGCAGTCGCGTTTCGTGTCGTGACACGGTGTACGCGCGACGAATCGAAGACGCGGCCTTTGTGCGAGCGATGGCATTCATTTAATCGGTGTAATTATCGTGGAATGTTCGAACGGAGCATTCTGAGATTCAACGATAATTCCAATAGCTGCCCACCCCACCATCAGTCGAGACTGATGACGTTTGGGTGCTCGGAGTGGGGTGGACAGCTATTATGACTGTTGCTGTATCGCGCAACTCTTTCTTCGGAAAGCAAATCGTAAATATTGATTTATGAGGATTAGGAAAGAGAGAAACTGAAAATCAGACGGAAACGGATCAGTTCACAGTCAGCTCGTTTTTGGAGTGCTCCTATTTTATAAGTGCTGCGCGGTGTGTATCCCAAATATTTTTGTGCATTTCTTTCAGCTCGTTGCGACCCGTTTTATTTATTTTGCGACCCACTAAAGGCTCACGACCCGCATTTTAAAAAACTCTTGTTGGAGCACCACGATGTTCGGCTGTGCGAAAGAAATTAAATAAACGGCATTTAATTTTTGATGGGTCGAATTATTTCAGACACTCCCGTTAATTTGGGTACAATGGCCTATTTGTATCAGCGTGTAATTGACCTGTTTACACAGCAATTATTACGGAAACCAATTTCGAAAGGGCTCGATGGAAACAAGTTCTCTAGAACGCAATGCTTTCAAGGATTCGCGCAGACCATCGAGATAAAGGTAATGAATTCTCGAGTACGATGACTTAAGAGAAATCATATTCCTCGAGAATAATTCCCTCGAATGCATGAAATAGTTGCATCGAAACGCCGCAAGGAATGGAAAATGCAATGAGATCGCGAACGTTGAATACTTCGGAATTGCGATTCTTTAATATTTGCGAACTATATTTTATTCACTGAAGCTATTCGGAATAACTCGTCGCAGACCTCGCGGAACTGTATCAACCTCATAATTTCGACCTTCGCTTTTCAATACTCCGAATGTTTGTAGAAAAATGGGATTCCCCAGGAAATGATTCTCAGACGTTATACTCCGAAATTCTTCAGCGACGTCGAATCCTCCGTATTTTTCTTATAATTTCACTCCCTTCGAAGGCAAACGGAAGGATTCCTAGGTCGGGATGCCTGGAGTTGCGTTCCTATTAAAAGTATTTTTATCGAATTCGCCCGGCAGTGACGCCGAGCCGAGAAGTGGGAAATACCGAGGATCTAAATCGCGAATATAACTCTATCCATCTAGGGAAAGTCGGAGAATTCTGGAGCGTGAACACTATGACAGATCGGATTCATTAGCAGTATTTTCTCCGAAGGAATCGTGGAGAAAGGTGAAACACGAGGGACGAAATTTCCCAACGCCCATCAGGAGGTGTGTGGAGAAGTTCGGGACGCAAAGCAAGGTGTGAGTCACATTCCGTGAGTGGTTCTTCTCGTAGATTTAAAATAACAGTGTACACACCTTGCAGGGAACGGGGAGGAATACGGAGTGGCAAATTAGAAGGTAAACAGAGAGGGTGAAATTAGAAGAAAAACAGAGAGGGTGAAACGTTACCGAAGAATTTCGGAGTACAGGATCTGAGGAGGATTTCCTTGGGAGTACTCCCTTTCTACAAATATTTGTAGAAATGGGGAACATCAAAGGTTCGAACCATGAACTCGATACAGATCGGCAAGGACCACGAGTCGTTCTGAATATATTTAAGAAATAAAATACAACCATCCTAAATAAGCAGCGCAGGTTATAAAAGGGCTGAAAGGTATTCGCGATCATTAAGGTATTCCTACGGCGATCCCGACGTATCGCCGGCGGAACAGTGGTAGTTTTTAAGTTTCACCACCGCGGCGAAATATTCACCCGTGAACGCCATAAAATCCCATGAAAGATGTTTCGGTAAAAAGAAGCTACCACGGTTGCGACGTCCTCTTTCAGACCTATGTATGCTCTCGACCATAATAATCCACGGTAAATGTATTTTCCTCGGTCCACGGGAGTAAGGGAGAGGCGAAAAAAAAGAAAAAGAAAACAGATTACGATTTTACGCGTCCCGTTTATGTCTTCTATACAAGTCAAGCCACTACATCTGAAAGCTGAACGTTATACGCCGAGGAAGTTTGAAAGGGCCTAACACACAATGAGAATGCTCGGGTGTAGTGGCTGGGGGACGGCCTGGAATCGACGCTGATTTCGGTTGGCCGACCTGCCGCTGGTGAATACCTGCGAACTGCAGGTCGTTGCTACAAACTCCGGCCGGAATCATTGAAACTTCACGGCCGCAGGTTTTAAGTACCGTCGAAGACGAAACCATTCTTAGCAGACAGACTGGTATATGGTCGAAAGACAGGGGCCCGGAGGGAGGGGGGCGAGAGAGAAAGAGAGAGAGAGAACGATAGCGCAAGGGAGAAACGGCAACCTTTTCTTGTCGTTACTCGCCAAAGTTCAGACCAACAAGATCCCGAGAGAGATCAACGTTCAAGTTCTTCGTACAGTGGTTCGGTTCCCCAGGCAAGATTCCATTCCGAGTGAGTCCAGGTTACCCGAAGAAAGAGCGCCGTTTCGTAGCTGTCCTGTCAGCCTCGTGTGACACGGAGAAGGGGGCTAAGGTAAGGGGATCGACTGTACGCTTATTCGCGAGTATCCGAAGAAGGTCATCCGCGATGACGCAGCGGAGGGAACGACCGGCGCGCGCGAAAAAATAAAATCCAAGGGAAGAAAGGAATAGAGGTAAAAAAAAAGAAGAAAAAAAGAGATCCACTCACCACCTTACAAGGTAGCCCCCGTTTTCGTTGGGAACCGCCGCGGACGCTGGTATCCGTCAATCGTGGTCTGCTACAGCGACTAACTCTCGACTCCTCTTCGTTCTCCTTCTCTACCGCACCGTCGGGAAAGACGGAGACGCTACGAGCCCGCGGCACACACTGAGAGGACCCCGGATCCTCTCGGCGGAACTTTTTTTCCTTTTTACCAACTGCCTACCACGCCACTCCCGTTCGAATTTTCTTGCCCTTTATTTATCTCGCCCCCTACGTTTCACCGTAACGCGCGAACATTGTGCTTGATCGTATTATACATGTATACATGGGACAGAACGATACTCTGACTCGGCTCGAGTCACACTTCGCAGATGATCGGAAACACACACTAACAAAGCCGCGGTGGCTGACAACCGGAAAAATCACGTGGTGACGCGTCCATCCGGAGTAAAAACCGCATAACCTAACGACACTTGGAATACCCTTTTATCTTTCCATTTCGCCGCCGACGAATATCAAATCTCGATTGTCGCGAGCGCGTACCGATTAACGGAGCTACGTCACTCGTGGTACCCCTCGATTCACCAGTAACACGCAACGGAATTATACGGTGCACGGGGCCCGGTTCGACACTCGAAATATGACACGACGCGCGTACAAGTTTCGCGCGCTGCAGACTCCGGCAGACTGAGCGCCGAGAAAGTCTTGGGGCTAGCGTACGCGATTGCTGCGCTCCTCGCGGCCGATACCCGAGGCACTGTGTCACGCGTCTTTCGCCGGTCCCTCTTGCGCTCCGATTCCTTAGAAACTGGAGTAATACGGTCGGCTGTACGGGTCGCGTACATGCTAAATCAAATCCCGGCTTGTTCACCGATGCGGAAAATCCCATCCGGAAATAACAATCTCGATTTTCGTTAACGTAACGGAAGTATGCGGCTGCGACGGGACCCCTGACTGTTCCTCCGTCAGGACGTCAGACGGCACGAGATATGTAAATCTAATGAGCCTGTTCTGGGATTTTAACAATGCCCGCCGAGTCGTATTGTAACGTTAATTATGAACATTCTATTTCTGAGTGGATTCCGTTGATTTCTCCGGAGGATCTTGAAGTTGAAATGTATTTTCGCGGGGAATGAATAACTAACCTTCAAGAAGAGCTCCGCCGGAAGTACTAAGAGCATCCGACCAGCGGCGCCATTTAAATGTAAGTCAGAAGAAGTACTTCCTTCGCTCGCGGGGAATGAATCGTCACGCACTTAATTGGACAAGTTTATTAATACTATATAGTATTATTAATATTTTAATTACGGGAATATCTGAATTAACCTAGAAAGAACGTTAAAAGACTGCTCCTAGGAACTGAATGAGGATGTCTGCATATATAGTCATTGATTCCTGACGTTTTTTATTTAGTGCATCGGTTGGACGAACTTGTTTTGGTCGTACGGACAAGTTACTGTCACTATTTACACATTAAAATAGTAGAATATTTGACCTAGTATTTTCCTTTTGAGGATGTCGTTAAAGTTTAAATGCACTTCTATTACCTATGTATGAGCCCGCGGTGCCATCGGGATGAAGTATATTCAGCCATAGCTTTTTTTTATTTAAGCTCGAAGCGACTAGCTGAATGACTGAATAATCCACGTTCGGAATTTTATGTTTCGTGCTACGAAAAATGTCGCGGATGTATAAGTCGCCATGTTTATTTAGTGTACACCCATACAGTAGCGCTGGTACGTGCACAACCACTCATCGTGGCTCAGTTTGTTTATCGCTTTTACCTCGCTTCTGAGAACAAATTCTGAAAGTCTCTCGACAAATACGGGCGACATTCATACGCGACGCGCACACCGCTGTAAACAGTTTCTTTTTAAATATGGTGGGTACACACATTCACGCATTTGGTGCGCACATGTCGCGTTACATCGGCTCTAGCAAACTTCTGCAACGTGAAATGTCCACGATTCAGCTTCTTTTCTCTACGTGTGGGTGTTACAATTTTTTATGACAACTTAAACGCGACCCTCTTGTTAACCTCAGAATTTATTCACCGCGGCAGAGGCCCTATGGACGCCATCGTAAGATTTCGTTTAGTTGGTGTGAACGTTGCGTACAGTGACCAGCAAAAACGTGGCGTGAACCCGGATTTCTGAATGGTTACCTTTCGGATAGATGAATTCCAATGAAATACTTAATTACTATTTGTTTTCTATCCCAAGATTCCACTTTTCCTCTACGTCTATTTCTTTTACCTCAAACACGTTACGCTATTGTTTGAATCTCTGCGTCCATTAAAAAAGAAGTTCGACTCGTCGCGCGCGCCTGCGATAGATATTTCGCATCCCAAAATCGAAGAACTCTATGTAAAAGAAAAATCCCTCGTTAACGGGGAAATAGATACGTCTCGTAAAATAATAAAATCTCCAATTAGAGCGGCAAACTAAATTGGAGCTGAGAATATAACTAGAATGTTACGCTTTTGTTTCCACTGCATGGCCCACATTCACCGCATACGCTGATATCGACTATGAAATAATATGACTGTACTGGTAGTATTATTATTCGATCCGCAATATTGCAATTAGGTCACACCGCTACTTCTAAAATTTACTACACCTTTGGCATCTTTTGAACATTTACCAGCCTTCACTGACATTTGCGAAACGATAATATCCGAGGCTCCACGCGAGAGGGCTAGTAACGCTAGTCAGAGCATAAATACAGCCGGGGCGAACAATACTTTGTCGGAAATGAATGGTCAATTGTGGAAATGAAAAGATTAGTTAGGTCAATTTATGATACCGGCCAACGTAAATACCTCGATATTGAAGTTACGATTGATCGACGCTGTAATCAGTATTCCTTGCCTCTCCGCGAGTCATTTCGTCGGACAACGGAGGGTGTGGCGACAGACGAATTTTTCATTGCGCGTACCTACAGCGCCCCGGTGTGTACCATTTATTAGAACCAATTGAATAAATTACGTTTCATTCACGGTGGAATCTCCCCTATCCCCGCGGTCCGGCGTTTCGTGCGTCGTTCCTCGACCTCTACGTATCCGCGGTCAATAATAATATCTCTACACAGTGACGAAACTCCTCGCAGAATAACGCCAAATATACTTTCCCTCGAACGCGCGGACGCGTTAAACGAAACAGCTTCGATTCCCCCGGCCTCCGCAAAAAAAAGGAAAGAATTACCGTTCGAGGCGCACCGTTTTGGTATTCGAATCGCGTGAGATATTTTTCAGAAAGGATTTGTATGCCGCGCGATGCACCCAGCCATCGGGTTTCCCCTGCAATGAGGACTTATTATGATAACTATGTTTTGCATTACATATTTGAAAACGTGGCTGTCGCGCGCCAGACGAGACACAGACTGGCGACGAACGCGACAAATTTTTCGATATTGACAGGTTTAACATACACGCGTGTCCCGCGTCGTACGGCTAGTCGATTGGACAGCAGCCGCATTTGAGATTCATCCGTTCCTCTCATTTACTCGTCTCCCAACCCACCTCTTTTTGACCGTTGAGAGGGGAAAAACCATTTCGATACGCGCCTGGCTACGCGCCGATGCGCGTTAAATATTTAATATTCGGACTGTTGCGAAAAGCTGACGGCCGTCATCGCAATTTAATCGAATACACGAATCGATCAGCGGGCCGGTTGAATGCCGGGGCCGGCGAAGAATGCGCGCGTATCTCTGTATCGTGCTCCGTCGCTTCTATCGCGGATGCATGCAGAAAGAGATGTAAGTCGGCGGCCACATTGTGCGAAATATTCCAAGCGCAGGCAGCTGATTAAGATGTTCTAATTGATAATAAGAGGGGGCCGCGATATTACCCTCGTCCCGATTTAGAACGCGGCGATCGAGCGGCGAAAGTACATTAATTCCGGAACGAAGGAATGCCGAGAATCCGTCAGGGTCGAAAAATCAGTCTTCATGAATATTCCGAGGAGTCTCCTTCGTCGAACAAGATTTCGATGTTTCTTCTATGTCGAAACGCTCTCCGGGCACGTTTATTCGATTCCGATTACCGTCCCAGTCGGGGGGGAAGTACGATACATAGGTGTGAAAATAAATTACGAACTTCTTCTTAATGAAACTGCGCGGCGGACAGAATGTCGGGGCAATTTTTCAAGCCTGTCTCATACTTGTCCCACTCTTTTAGGAAACCGGAAACGGAAATGTATAGCGCAAGCGAGAAACGCGCTGTGAGATTGAAGCAAGCTCGGGAAATTTATTGTAATTGAAACCAAGTGGCCAAGTTTTATTAAGCGACGCTTATGACGCTGAATGATTCAGAACGCGAGACGCTTGGAAAATCTGTTTCACTTTTCTCAGCTTTCTTTTCTTCTGTCGAAGTCAAATCACTCTCCGGGGCTTGCACATATTCGCTCGAGATTCCTCGGAACCCTCCGGACCTCTGAAAACACGCGAGGGTTCACGGACCTCACGGAATCCCCTGAGATCGCTTGAAATTCCGCAGGCACCCTAAAAAACGCCACAAACCCTTCTGGGCGACCCAGTCTCACGTTAATTCCGGAATCCCAATGATCCTGATCTTATGAGGCCTCGTGGAACCCTTTGGACCTTATCATCTCTTTCGCGAGACGATCGCGAACCTTTTAAAACCTCTCAAGTATTCTTCTTTTACAGAATTTTATGCTTAAAAATATTTCCGCGCGCAGGGTTACCTTCTTTTTTCGCTGCGGTAGTTATTCCAAGACGCTTCGTATCGTACTATATGTAATCGCATCATCTCGCGCGACGTTTCATTCTGTGTCCGCTATAATGAACAATATGAGTTTCCTTTCAAAGTATGAAAAACGCACGAAGTATTCAACAAGTATTTTTCTCTCGGAGTTCATGAACTTTCATTAGTTGAATTAATTTCAGCGTCTAGTCAAGTTTCCTCTCATTAACGCACTGGCTTAAGTACAAAATCCTCGGAAGCGCAACTTCTCCTCGTCCCGTTGTACCGTCGCTCGCGATTTTTGCAGGAATAATTTGCATCTGCTCTAAATATCGACTATCCTCTTTATTATCCTCCCATCGGGGAACCATGGGAGCGGGGAAACTTTTCTTTGCGACGCTTTCCAAATGTCCAGCTCGATTACGTGACTTCTCTTAATTTCAGCGAAGTCTTGGAACTGTTACAAACTATTAAGGGAATGTAATTAAGCGGAGAATGTGGACGACGCCATGCATATTCAGGTGGAGGTACTTGAAATATCCGCCGCTACTATTTAACGATCCACGTGGCTCGCTGAAATATTCGCACACGTAAAAACGTATGTTCATGTACTCGTTGGGACGAAACAGTTGGCGACTTGTACTTCAATTTTTCTTTCCTCCGCTTCTTCTGTTCCTTTTGCTACGCGAATTATGGTGCGTACGCTGTCATACGGCAATTCCCGGGAAATGCCTTTTTATTGCATCAAACCGTAACGGCACGCCCAGGTTAATTCACTACGGTGACGTTTTCGTATCCAGTTTAATTGCCGGTCCACCGAATTCCAGAGTCGAGTTTTGAAAATACACTTGTAGAAATTGAATAGAACAGCTGCGCGATTAATCGTTCAATAACCCGCTGCCGATGGTTCTCGGAACGTGTATAATATCTGCGAAATATAGAGAGAAGCGTGCTTTTGAATCGGTTACTTCAATGCATTAGCGCACAACGAGCAATCTATCGCAAGGAGCTGCTGGCCCACGAACAATACACCCATTGAAACGGAATAATGTACATTTCGAGTGTAAAGCAGAGATACTGTAAACTTCAATACAAAATATATTTACCGGGCTCCCGTTGTTCTGGGTCATTCTGCGAAACAAAGAAATTATCGCTTGATTATGATTACGATTATATTATTCACGGTTCACGGCACTCGGAACGCCGCATTCATTCGTGGCCATTATCTATGAACCCATACGCGAACGATACCGCTGTATTTATTATATTAATTAACAGAATAATGTTAAATACCACTGATGTGCAACTTAACTTCCATTTAATACCCACCATATGTAGTAGTATCTATTGTCGCTTTTCATTCGTACCAACGAGTCAAATATCCGTGAATTTTTTATATCGAACGTTTACATTGTTCGACCCAATTTTGACTATCAAGAGGTCCATAGTGCCTTCTAAAATACCTTCTAACCGATGCCCTAAGTGGGTGTCATCGTACAAAGACCCGCAAGAGAGATTACCCAAATTGCCGACTCGATCAGCGTAATCCACGTAATTTTCCTTTCAGTGGCCACGGCAACTTCACTTTTTTACCTCCGATCTTAACTCCTCTCAGCCAGTAAACGTTCGTCAATATGGCCGTCTTCCTGTTCAACCCTTCGTTTCCTTCCGTTCACTTTGTGCCATTAGCTGCAGTTCTAATGCACTCTAGCCAAACCCGAGGCACACTTACCGAGATGCACGGCAATCTATTACAATAATAACCAATGTAATCGTGACAATAAATTATCTCTCGTTTGATTTACCGAATCAATCGACGGGCAAAGTGCAGACAATAAATAATCATTTTCACGATACCACGGATCGCTGAAAATCAATCGTATATTATATTCATCGAAACGGCGTCTAATGGTTACATAAATTAAGGTTCTAGCAGAAACCATCGAACGAGAGGCACAGTGGAAACCGGCGAAGATGTTCCATCCTCTTCCTTCCCGTTGCACGTGCAGTTTTCGTGGCACGTCATCTAAGTTATTATTCTGCTATGCCTACTTCGCGTCCTCTCTCTCTTTCCGGCTCGCTCCTTGTATTTTGATATCAGCGCGTCTGTCTCTCTCCCGCGGGTGCTTCGTTAGTTTCACCGGCGTTTGATTACGCGGCGTAGCCGGAAGGCCAAATGTTTAATTTCTTTCTTTCTCTTTGCACGGCCGCGAGTCTCGTCGCGATGAATGGCAGTATAAGAAATAGTAAAGGTACGTTTGCACAGGCAAACACGCGAGAAAGCACGCCCGCTGACACAAATACTCCGTGCACGTGCACGCTCGCCCGCCGAGACCAGTGTTGGTCTTTTGTAATTTCTTTCGCTGGCTTTTTAGTTTTACGGCACGGCCGCCTACCCTTCCCCTATCTTTTTCTCCCCCATCCCTCCGCTGCTCTTTCACTCGCACCGCGCGACGGAATAAACGCGTGCATCACGGCGCGAAAGCCGAAAACCACGAGCGTGGCATTCGATCCATTCGAAGCGCGCTAAAAATCGGCTACCTTTTTCACCAGCCGATACTAAAAATGATTGTTCCCTGGAAACAATGGAATGTCGATTGTGCGCATCGCAACGACCGAAATTCTCGCCCGATAGGTTCGATTGTGGATTCGGAATTGAAGTCGGTCCAGGAAATCATGCGTTTCGCGCGCCGGAAATTAAAATAATATTCTGTTTGTTTATAACAGTAGATCGCAAAGGAATGCATTTCGCTAATCCACCGGCTGAGTAACGTGGACATTCGAGGAACAAGAGCCTGCGGTCGCGACGAGATTGTTTAATTAATATTCGCGGGAGCACGTAGCGACATCTAGAGAGTGCGGTAGGAAGGAAAATTCGAAGCGACGAACTCGACGGTTGAGTTTACAATTATCGTGGGAAGAAACCTTGTCTAACGTGTGGTGATAAATTTGAATCGCTTACATATTTCAAATTTGTTTCTGTCGTTTGAGAACACGACCTGATTTGTGTATTACATTTCTTGATAGGAAGTGGCTTAATATATTCATGCTACGGAAAAATATTTTCTTAGGAATAGATAATACAATTAAAAAGTGGTTAATTTATATATAAGTAATGCAGTTGGTGCAGAAATAACTTGAACGAACGGATATTTCTGGTCTATTACGGTATGGAGCGTGGGATGCATTAGATTCGCTTCAGAGATTTTCCATTTCCGTCTGGTTCTTCTCTTCTTTCGCTTTTCATTTGTTCATTCCTTCGGATCTTACGCAAACGAGGTGGCTCTCTTAATGTTACGGTTAAATAGCAGAAACGAGGGAAAATTACGGGAACGGGAGGAAAGCGGAACGAATGTGTTCACGGGAACGTAACGGTCCGCCGGTAAATAAGTAATGTCGCGCAGAAAGTGCACCGATGGAGTTTCATTTCAGCCACGGGAAAGAAGGAAAAGTAAGCCGGACAACGTTCACAGAAGCTGCGGCGATGGCCGAATTGCGGCGCAGTAAAGAATACAAATAGTTCTATTATTTTGTGAACAAAGACCGTCCCGGTATGAGGTTCGAATCTAGAACGAGCCTTATCAAAAATAAAAGCCGCCGGCCAGCTTCGATGGAACGTGGAAACCTAAGAAATTGGCGAAAGCGCCGCACTGTGCAGACGTGCTTTATTCATTTCGATATTAGTCTGTCGTCCTTAGTATTAAGGAATGAACAATTATTGTTTTCAAGATCAAAATGACGAACAAGAATATCTGAATCAGCGTGCAAACACTGTAAACATTGAAACGTTACCTATATCAAACCCAGATCTATTATAACTATCGACGGATAATGAAAAAGATTCAACAGACGTATTTGATATCCATTCGTATAGTCGGTTAAGGAACTGTAATATTTCCATAATTTTGGAATACTCGTTAATCTTTTGTTTAATTCTGATGAGAAACAGATTATTCTCAGCGCTAAGTATCTAAATGGTATCGAGCGTTTCATAGGTTCGTTAAGAAATAAATTAAAGGGGATATACTTTATCATACAGATTTATTTGCTCATATGGTCATAGGTATATAATAATTGTAATCTAAAACTCTGCGTATAAATATTATCGGCCGTCGAGTGGCCGTCAGGCTGGTAGAATTAGTATCGTTACTCGGTGCCAGTTTGTAAATTCATAGAAGTCAGATTGTAACCGGAGTTATTGTGGTTTTACGGACAGTAGCGATTGGTACAGCGACATTCACGAGCGACAGCACAGTTGGTGACGGGATAGTTTAGTCGAGTATCTACGTGCTGGTGCCAAGATCGCATTTCCGGATCGCGTTTTGAATGTGAATATCGAGCGGAAGATTTACATCGACATCCTTGTGCTTGTAGTCGTTCAGAAAGTAAGACGGTCCCTCAATGTTTGCTGGAAACTCTTTTGGTAAGAATTCTTCGCTACGTGGTTCCAACTCGAATCCTGATATGGGGCATCTCAGCAATCTACGTGAAGCAAACATCACTATTAGTTTAGGATCTTAACTCTTATGGCGTCTGACAATTAGTTAATCAAATTCAAAAAGAATCGCATTTCGAAATAAAGGTAGAATAAATTAACGTTAGATGTATTTCAGTAATTAGCATGGCATCGTATGCGCAACGATATATTGGTATTCAGTAGTACGAGAGTTAATTAGTAAGTCTTGATTACTTACTCGTAAGTCGTTGGACTAACATGAATGCGAAGTGGTTCACTTAAGGATTCGAATTTATTCGCTAAGGTAACATTATGCCCGAACAGGCAATACCTAGGCATTTTCTTCCCTACAACCCCTGCGAGCACCATTCCAGTGTGAATGCCAATGCGCATCTAATGAAATAAAGCGAAATATTCAAAGTTTAATCGATACTCTTCCAGCATATTCGCGCAATCGTAGAATAATTAAATCGATTGCTTCTTTTTATTAAATTCTACGGTCCTTTAGGATGTTAAGTAATAAGTAGGCGTACTATCGTACCCTTATTGGTTTTCCCTTATGAGTTAAATGATTAGAACACGCTTGTATCATTTTCAGGGCCATCCAAGCTATTTGTTGCGCGTGTGTGCTGGTATCGCGATGAAGGCCACAGGCTACGCAATACGCATCTCCAATCGTTTCTACCTGTAACAATTAAAGAGTATAAAATTTTTTTCAGAATTCGAACTTATTCTCTTAAGGATTTATATTTGAGATAAAACTCGCACCTTATACACATCCAGCTGACCGCAAAACGAGTCGAACTGTTCGTAAAGATTCTGAAGCATATTGATGACCATCATTGGCGTCGCGGTCGAACAAATCTCTGTGAAACCGACGATGTCGCTGAAAAGCATGGTCACTTCGGGATAATTTTTTGCGTCTATAGTTTCCCCTGTAAAAGTTCATTGTAATGAGACATCGAATCGTTTGAGTTGAGAATAGATTCTATATTGTTTACAATGACTTACCTAACCACAAGCGTTTCGCTATGTCCGGAGGAAATATAAGATGAAGCAAGCTAACGTTCTTTTCCCTCTCCGCGGACACAGCAAGGTTTGCTTCCTCGATGGATCTCTTCAACTTGTCCATCCGCCTTCTTAAGCCATCCTGCAACCAAAAATATGATTACCATGTGCATTTCAAGTAGAAGAATTAGAAATTTTGAAATTCAGAACTCCAGGAATTCATAAATTTTGAAATTCAGAAAATCAGAAATTCATAAATTCAAAAATTCGCTTGCTCTTATTGCGTTTTATTCAAATATTGTTAACATATTCATCGATTATGGTAAGCTCGTTTCGTTTAAAACCGCCATATCACCGCTGACGCCATCTAGACCGTACTCTCCGTACGCTGGCGCCATCTATGCGGAGGAATCGTCTCGGTAATGTAGGTAGGTTCTTTAAAAGCGAATATTGTAAAAGAATTTCGAAATATCCATGAATAATTGAATGCATTCACATGATGATACGTATTTCATCCTAAACTGGGACTAGCCAATTAACATCCTTTCCACTTCGTTGTTACTTACGATACAGATCGTACGGTTTAATACACGAGCGTATGAATTTTATAAATATAAATTTAACGATGTCATAATAAGATGCAAATGCAGCTGTACCTGTGCTCTAGCTTGTTCCCCTACTAAAATTACGTCCCTCGTAGCGTCGTGTAATGGAATATCAGATATAAAAAGTCCTCGACCAGTCAGCCCTTCCAGACCGTTCAGAAACGGCGAGCTTACGAATAGGATGGAATTCGATTCTGGACAGTAGACCATCTGACCTTTCATCTCTAAGCCCTGAAATTATTGAAATCCTATCAGTATAAACATTCAGGTAACGTTATCGAATAAAGACGTGTATTCATGTATATTGGATCCTAAACCAAAGTTCTCGTAATCCTCTTTTATAAATTTGAGAAGTTTCATTTTAAAGTATCAATTTAATTCTACATTATTTGTCACACTAGTCTATTTAGAAAATGTCAACCACGAATTAAATTTTATACGCATCATTCTGCTGTTCCATAGATTACTGCACTGCTCTTACAATCGATTATCAAAGTTCTTTGTTTTAATATTTATTATCTGTCCCCGTGCAGTGTGTCCTAATCCATAGGGAAATTCCATTAAAGCGACAAATAGTTCGTTATCCCCACAGCGGGTGTATTTCCGTTTTTCATTCGTTTTATTTAATACGGCGCGAAATTACTCTATTTCCGCGGAGATCAAATTAGGAAAGAAACTACCCAGGGGGTGCAGCTCACCCCAGCAACCACCGTGGGAAAACACTTGTTCGCGCCAGTTGTTTGTACATTCATCTGCCGGCCACGTAGTGGCTACACTACAATATTTTCGATTTACATACGAATGAACCACTCGTGTACCTCTGCGGGATATTTATCGACACCCTGCGGTCTCTTTAGGGTCAGCATAAAAGGTGTATTCACACGCCTCAGTATCTGGTGGAAGACGAGTATAACCCCGCGAGGTCGTGTAACAGCGAAGTACGTCGATATCTCTCGCCCCAATCGGTTTAGATGTTGTCCGAAAATCCTCATGAATCCGACCCCAAGCTGCACGAGCTCCAAATTTCGATCAATGACGAAGTGCCATGGAAACGCTTTGCAGAAGCTCGCGACTCCCATGCGAAGGTCCGTGGCCTCAGTCGAGAGTGGACGGAAAGTAGACGTGCCCGTGTCGAGATAATTGTCGATCTCCGAATCGACGTTCGATCGTTCACTGTAACGCTCCGGGATGATACGATACCTGTGAAACAGTTCATCATTAAACCGAGAGGAACGTTCCTCCCGTAATCGCGGTACCATTAAGCGTAACGTAGAAACGATTCGAAATGCGTCTCATCGTTACGGGAGATTTAATTAATAAGTAATTTATCATCCGTTGTATTCACTTTTAATCTACTATTTATTAAACTTATTCATTTACGGTTCGCCATAATAGGAACAGCACCCAGGCCGCTCGGTATATCGGATTATGCACGGTCCATTAATGAGTTTACTCTTTTTTCGGAGAACTTTTAATGGACCTGAACTCATGAAAATAATCCAATTACGGAAGTTCGCGGGAGCAAATAGGGAGGGGCCTTCGCGAATTCCTTTTCCGCGCTAATGTGTAATGAGACGCCTGAAATCAGCGTGCAGCGTGTTCGATGCAAATGCTTGCGAACATCGCCGATCGATATATTTGCTCGGGTCGCCGTTTCACGGCCCCCGCCGCTTTTTCCGTGTAAATTGAATTTCTCTGTTGTAACGGAATGTCTGCAGCAACGTATCGATCTGGCGTGCAAGCAGTAAACATTGTTCCTTTTCAGTGCGACACCTTTCTCCGTAATCCGTTCGAATTTCATGTAACTTAATAGGCGATGCATTTGCCGTCCATTGATTTCGAACGCGTGCCTCGTAAAATGTTATTAAAGCCGATCGAATTTCTTCGTTGCTCGTTCTCACGTATATCTATATCCGCTTACCGGATATTATACTTATGCATTTAATGAGTGTTATTAAGAGCGGAACGTTAGAGGTTCGTATCGCAGGAAATACCGGAAAATATTAAAAGGCATCGAATGTGGGAACCCCGCGTTTCGTGGAATTGGATTTGCAATTGCGCGGGGCTAACGAGTCGCCGGTTGTTTTTCTTCTATTATCGAGAGACGCGGGACAATGAGGTGCGGGACAAACGAAGAGATTATTCTTACCTACACACAAACGGATAGAAGCGGTTGGGAATGATTTTCACGTCCGCATCGTCGTGATAAATTTTCTTCGCGATGATCTTCAAGCTGCCGCCCAGCAAATAGGCGATAGACGGGTGCTCGGTTGTAAAATGTAGTTCTATCGCTTCCGGCGTAGCGATGCATACGAATTCTGCCTCCGCTTCTGATCCGGATTGATGTTGTACAACGTCGTTTACACCGTCGAGTGTGGTCAGGAAGGCCGTCAGATCGTTCCCGAGGCAACGGAATGCTCGTTCGAGCAGACCCACGCAAGCAGTATGGATCAGCTGTTCACCGAGGCGTTCGAAAAACTTCACCTTGCCGGAGTCTGAAACTGTTTCTCTGAATTAGCTGTCACGGGCGCGGCTTCAATCGGATTGCATCTTTGAGTCGGGCTCACGCACTTAAACGAATTAAACGATCTCTTTCCGAGTAAAAGGTACCAGCGAGATTAAAAATCTGCCGTACACGCGAAATATAAAGAACATTAAGCCAGCAACATTGAGACTTTCAATTCAGTTTCATATTTTATTAATTATACGTCCATCCGAACGATAAACGCTGCAAACATCTCCGATGCTCTTTTACGTTCACTCAAAGTTTCGAGAAACCTTGATCGTTCGTGAAGGGGTAAAGTTCCGGAGCTATATTCTTTTGGAAACCTAAAGAATCCACGGAACTTTAGCATCGTATACCTCTTCTTCGTTTAAAATTGCCTTACGCGAGATCGTATGGCATACGACTTATGAACCAGGGTTTCCTTGACACCAGTTTCCCGAGGATTTTCCAGTTTACAGCCCGATTGATCGCAACCCGGGTTCGCAACTGCGCAACCACCCGGAAAATATAGCACGCAGTTCGAAATGCTGTCAAATCATGTACTCCAGCAGATTTAATTTCGAATGTTATTGCGCGAAGCTTTAATATCTGTCGGAAAGATAGTCTGGCAATTATTTTTCGACAGAGGGAAACCGATAAAAGAAAAACCGCAGCCATAATACGTTCCAGTCCCTCGTTCGAGCGACCCGCTGCTTGCACTGCGCTGAATGGAACCGTAATTTTGCTGACGTGGGAATCAGCGACGATTCTCCCGTCCCTTTCCGTCCTGCGAATTGGAGAAAAAAGGGAGCCGGATGCAAATTCCGATCGTTGCAGGAAAGTTGCTAATCTCCAAGCGCGCCGTTCCTGCGAGCTTCGCGAACGGAGCTCCGTTACAATTTTCCATCCCAGATTATTCGATAACCGGTGCCATTTGTCTTGTAACAAAGTTACGCGGAGCATGAAAAACTTCAAACTGAAATGCCTCGCGAACGCAAGCGATTCTGCAACGCCTGGTACAGGTTGCAACTTGCACTTATTCGAAAGTTTCCGCAGATACCGAGCGTAATAAACGGCCTCGCGTACACCGCTCGCAATGGATCAGAGGTTAGCTCCCTTGCAGAACCGGAAATCGACGTGGCCGGGTTCATGTTATTCTAATGTACGTGCGCATTATTTCCCAGCGAATGTCACTATCAGGACACGATAATCAATAGCGGTTGGTGATCGGCTATATAATACACCCATCCAATCGCCTGGAACATCGCTCGGTGTTTCTGTGACGGCCTGCCAAATCATCCGGTAAACATTGACAAATCGATGGACCGTCGGCAGGGTCTGGTACGTTGCCTATCATCGCGTCCAGAGGGAAATGATAAGCGACTCGGTGGCAAGCGCGAGGTTGATAAGCTGAAAAGAAGGTAAACGTCACACATTTTCGGCATACCGCATTGCACGGGAATAGATGAATCGTTTATCGCGATAGACCGAGCGTATGGTGCTTCTTCCTTTCAATTGCGCATCTGCAGCCGCTTTCATAGTTTTATCGCGGCATTTATCTAGGGAGGCAGGAGATCCGCGCACAGATATCTGCTTTAGGGTGAATCGACTGTAAATTACACTGGACGGTTTCAAAAGTAGTGGTCACTTACTGGTCGGTAGTGGTGAATCGTGATCAGTTACCGGCGAGTAGTGGTTAATAGTGGCCCTCTAGTCAATAGTGGTCGCTTATCGATCAGTGGTGGTCAGTAGTATTAACTTACTGGTCCATAGTCGTAAGTAGTGTTCACTTCGATTATTAATACGTCGGTAATTAGTGGTCCGTAGTTCGAATCGGTCAGAAAGCAATTCACCGCCCGTTCTCAAGTTTCCTTCCGTTAATTTGCTAAAAACTGTATTAACCCTTTGCAGTCGAAAGTTTTTCGCTAGACATATTCAACATTCTTCAATGAAATATAAATGATATTCTTCGAAACTGATTAATAAAAAACGTACAGAAAAATTAAGAAACAAAGCTACTTTGTTTGAACATTTCACACATCGATGCATTTTGCTATACTGAATCTAGCGGTGGCTGAGAATCACCCATAAAGAATAAAGGGTTAATAAAGCAACAGGATTCCTCGTAAAGGGACGTATTCCGTAAACAATCTTACGCGGAAAATGGCGTGCAAGGAAAGCCATATTTTACGCGAGAGAAAAACATGAATCCGAGAGCGTTCTTCTCGTTTTGAAGAGTACTCGTCGCGGGGGTAGGCGTGACACGTCCCGGATAGCTGTCAGATCGCAGCCATCAACGTTTACGGTACAGAATCGAACAGTATAGTCGTTATTGTGAACGGGGATCGAAGGTTAACAAAAAAATTTATGCAACGGTACGCAAACTCGATAAAGCATTCCGTTGTGTACTTGTGTGCGTTTGTGCGTGTCTTCGGAGAGGGCGCCCGATTTTATCCGACGATTATTCGCGTGACGAATCCGATGGAGCCGAGTACATACGCTTGACGAGAACATTGATCTGCATGCCTGACTGAATTGGGACAATACGTCGAGAAGGAACACTTTGGGAATCGATGCGAACGTGCCTTCTACCTTGTTACATACATCGGTGCGCATCAATATCGGCAGAAACTCCGGTCCCGCGGTTTCTTTGACGAGAACGAGAGTTAAACAGTCGTTTCCATAGAGCTCCCCCGAAAGTACACATTCCCATTCCATCCTGACAGCTTCATTCGCGTCGAATGAACTCAGCCGCCCTCGTCAATTTAACGTTAGCTTTGAAAACATAATCTGCTAAATCTTACTCCAGCCTTACCGCCTTCCTCGCTAAAGCCCCTTAAATCTCGAGCGACCCGCGCGGAATAGGTTATTCAATTCTTAACAACGTTGTCCGCTGTGCACAGAGGAAAGTAACACTTTAAAGTTTCACGAGAAATTCTTTTTCGGCTTCGCGCTCTATTTATTGCTGCTCGATCTTTCGAACGATTTCGCGTACATCTATAAACAATGGCACCCGGGAAAGGTAAACGCAACACTGAATGGTTTTCTACTCTTAGATAAGTCGGCAAACATTCCATAGAAATACTCCTCGGGAAATATTTATTGATTTTCACTGAATAACTCGCAGCTCGCGATACCGTGATCAGTCCGTCGTGATCACTCACGCGCTATGCGTATCAACGAAAAACTCCGGAGACTCGACAATGCGTGTATTTTTCCTAATACGCGGACTGATCCTTCCCGTTATCAGTTTCCGCACTCAGTGTATTACTAGTGTTTGCGGTACTGCGGTTCCGCGTCTCGGTGCTTAGGCTGTCGCTCGGAATTCCTGAAAGGGAGGATTACACCTCCCTGCAAGCTACACCTTTAAAAAGGATTAAGGTTTTACGTTCACGTGTACCGTAATACCTTAACGTCGATGTGTCACTGTAAAATATGATGCAATTACAAAAGTGGGGATACACGATAAGGTCCGCCAGTAGATTTGAGTCCCAGCGGACAAGGGCAGCGCTTTAGTTCGATGAATTTCGTTCTCCTGCACACTATATCGAGTGTATCGAGACTGTGTGCGGCGGTTTCTGCGAGTCAATAGTAAGAGAGGTCTAATACGGGCGCGCCTTTTCGAAGCGAACTAACTCGAGGCACTCTCCGAGGCTCCATCGCGATTGCACGAGAAATCCTTTTTGCGCTCCGCCGACTCCGAAGAACGATCTCGTGCTACTCCCCTGCAACTATCATCCCCTTTTCCCTTTTTTATCTACTCCGCCGTTATCTCTAATGTTAGGCGATCACGCCACGGAGGACAAGGTGCATCATCCCTTCCTTCGCCCCCTTCGTACTCGCCGACAAAAATTCGGGTCGGTTCGGCACGAGAATTCGTAAGCACGAGCACAGTTCCCCGCATCACCGCATTCTACCTCATATTTTGTTCGAGCTTTCTTCTCGTCGGACCTTGCATAATTCATATTCGTAATTACGAGCGTTTCAATTATTACTGCACGCGGATGGGGTCTCTAAAAGGTATTAATAAACTAGGAGGTTACAGCCTGGAGACTGCACACGAAAAAAATGGGATCGTAAAGATTCTATTACACAAAGGTTTCTGCAACGAGAAAAATGATTATCGCCGTGGCAATAATTAAAGCGTTTTAAAACTCCCCCGAGAGCGAAACTCGGCTTCCGCGCGCGCCCGCATGGCGCCCGTATTTTTTCATTTAGCTTAAAAACAGTTTTCGCCGCGCTGAAAGTTTGCGAAATAATAAACGCATTCAAAGGTGGAACGTCATTAACGGCCTAAGTGAATCTTTCACGGTGGTTTCGCCTAATTGCGAGCGGGCGAACGATACCGCGCGCCGGAGCCGCGTTTACAAAGGGTCGAACGGCGTCATTGCATTATCGCACGGTGCGCCGCGTTCACGAGGAATAATTTCTTATCGTGGGACGCTCCGCGGCGGGCGACCATTTTGCGGCCGCACGGAAGAAACGTTGGTCCTCGTATGCGGACACGACGCCGGTATCTGCGGCGGAATTGTCCCCGCGGATCGCCGAGGCTCCATTGAGCGATCCTGACGGAAATCGTTGATAAGTTCCGACAGGGAAGTCGAATCTGAATACGTTCGCGTGCATATTGATTGTCCACGATGATTAATAGGACGTTCGCGGAGCATGCTCCACTGTAACTACAGTACTTGACAGCCGAATGCAAATTAGGTTAACATGCCCTCGAAGATGAAGGATCGGCGCAGAACCACCTGACAGCGTATATTGGTTCCCCGTCGAACATGGTGGCCAGAATTCTCGGCGAATCATTAAGATCCGTCGATGGAGCGTCGGCGGCGGGCGGGACGTATTATTACACGGCCTCTCTGATCGTCCCCGGCGCCATTCTTTCCCGGAGAAAATTATCTCCCCGTGCCGGGAAAAAAGCTCGATTATAATCTTCAAACCGTTCCAGATAGTCTCCTCGCTCCACGGTTTTTGTGCGACGAACGAGGCGAAAAATTCGTGTTTCACGCG